AAAAAAAAAAAAAAAAAAAAATCTAGCTTAAAGAGAGCTAATTCAAGCTCTCGAAGTTTGAGGACAACTGTGCGGAAAACACAGATGCCAAAGAATAGAAGCCACTATAGCCTGGGCAACAGAGCAAGACTTGAGCCGAGATCGCGCCACTGCACTCCGGCCTGGGCGACAAAGCGAGACTCTGTCAAAAAAAAAAAAAAAAAAAAAAATCTAGCTTAAAGAGAGCTAATTCAAGCTCAAAGTTTGAGGACAACTGTATGGAAAACACAGATTCCAAAGAATAGAAGTCAGTGTTCTGAAGTGTAGACGTTTGGGATCATTTGTATAGACAAAGTTTAGGAAAGCTTAACAGAATTTCAGCATCTTTCTAGGCAAGGCTTAATACGTAATGACCGTGATCCCATTAGTCAAGGTGGTCTTTTTCTTTTGAGAAGGTATTATTTAACATTTCACCCTGAAGATGTAGCAGTCACACAGCATCTTTTGTGCCATCTGGTCTGAGTTAGGTACAGTTCAGTACTGGAGGCAGTCAATCTGTAACCAAGGTCAGTGGTCACAAATGGAGGAGGCCTGGTCTCTGGTCTGTCCTAGTCATTTGCAGAACAAGAACAATGAGGAAGAAGGTTTATCTATGACTTAAGAAACAGAGGTTACACCTGCATGCAACATGACTCAGATGACACATATTGCTCAAGGCTTTTATTTATTTTATTTATTTTTTTGAGAGGGAGTTTCACTTTTGTTGCCCAGGCTGGAGTGCAATGGCGCAATCTCTGCTCACCACATCTACCTCCCAGGTTCACGTGATTCTTCTGCCTCAGCCTCCCAAGTAGCTAGGATTACAGGCGTGTGCCACCACACCTGGCTATTTTTTTAATTTTTTTTTTGAGACCGAGTCTCGCTCTGTCACCCAGGCTGGAGTGCAGTGGCCCAGTTTCAGCTTGGCTCCGCCTCCCAGATTCACGCCATTCTCCTGACTCAGCCTCCCGAGTAGCTGGGACTACAGGTGCCCACCACCACACCCGGCTAATTTTTTGTATTTTTTTTTTTTTTAGTAGAGGTGGAGTTTCACCACGTTAGCCAGGATGGTCTTGATCTCCTGACCTCGTGATCTGCCTGCCTCAGCTTCCCAAAGTGCTGGAATTACAGGCGTGAGCCACCGCGCCTGGCCTAATATTGTATTTTTAGTAGAGATGGGGTTTCTCCATTTTGGTCAGGCTGGTCTCCAACTCCTGACCTCAGGTGATCCACCTGTCTCGGCCTCCCAAAGTGTTGGAATTAGGGGCATGAGCCACCGTGTCCAACCTATTTTATTTATTTTTTTAAACGGAGTCTCGCCCTGCCGCCCAGGCTGGGGTGCAATGGGGCGATCTGGGCTCCTCCACCTCCCAGGTTTAAACGATTCGGCTGCCTCAGCTTCCCGAGTAGCTGGGACCACAGGCACGCGCCACTGCGCCTGGCTAATTTTGTATTTTTAGTAGAAATGGGGTTTCCCCACGTTGGCCAGGCTGGTCTCAAACTTCTGACCTCAAGTGATATACC